TACCGATTTGTCAGAGAGCCGTCATAACTCCGAGTTGTCGGTAAATGAGCACATCAGTAAGTGAGGAGAGGCTATATATACATATACTTTTTTTGTCTTATGATGGCATCTAAGGATAATTGTGATAAAATGAGGAGTCATGATAACCTTATTGCCAACATTGAAATGAAAAAAAATTTGGTAAGCTAAGGCCAAGATTATTTTAAGTAATGAGTATACTGTATATACAATGTGCATGTTACTTTTTTATTTTTTTAGGCCTAGTTCTACTGAACACTTAATATATGATAGTGTAAACATGTTATCAGGTATTTATATGCCTTTAAAAGTGAAAAAGGGCGATTCACTTTACGGCGATTTTAGCTTTACTGCGGTAGCCTGAAACCTAACCCACCATATAGCAGGGGTTCTCCTGTATTCACTAAAATTATTTGGTCACTAGAAGAATAGAAGCAGTCATCAACTGAGGATGGCCCACAGTCTGGAATTTGGTTACTAAACTACAACTCCTCTTTTTACCACAACTACCCTTAGATACCATCATAAGACCAACTAACTGACATCAGTACCAATCTCACAGATTTCAAAAAAGAAACTGAAATCATGCCCATCCACTCAACACTTGGATCAGATTCATGAAATGCCTTATTTATAAAAAAAATGCAAAGTATCACTATCAAGAGCCCTCAGTATTCTTTGGAGAAAGAGCCTAGATATAGGCGAAATGCCAGACCTTCAAGAGTCCAGACATAGCTCCTTTGCATAAGGGAGGCAGTATAGCACTAGCTAAAAATTACAGACCAGTAGCCCTAACTTCCCACATCATAAAAATCTTTGAAAGAGTGATGAGATGGCAGATTACAAATTTCATGGAACAGCACAACAGGCATAACCCGAACCAGTATGGTTTTTAGAGGAGGACAATCAAGCCTGTCACAGCTGTTGAACCACTGTGACAGAATTATGGAGGCATTGGAAGACAACCAAAAAGCCAATGTGATATACACAGATTTTGCAAAGGCATTTGACAAATATGATCTTGGGGTGATTTTACACAAAATGAGAGCCATAGGCATTACGGAGAAGGTAGGTAGATGGAGTTTTCAGGTTTCTAACACAGAGAATACAAATAATAGTAGTAAACAGAACAAAATCCAGCATCAGTGAGGTAAAAAGCTCGGTTCCTCAAGGCACTGTCCTGGCACCTCTGCTGTTTCTCATCCTCATAGCACACAAATATAAACACCTGTTACAGTTTTATATCATCATCTGCAGATGACACTATAATAAGCATGTAAGTCACTTTGGTAGAAGACACTGAAAAATTACAGGAAGATATGAGCAATGTTTTCCAGCAGGCAATGGAGAACAACATGACATTCAATGGTGTTGGGAATAATTATATCAGCTGACCTTTGTTGGATGAATTTGGTAGGGTGTGCAAAAGAAGAAAATTAAAGGTGAATACAGGAAAGAGTAAGGTTATGAGGATAACAAAAAGTTTAGGTGATGAAAGATTGAATATCAGATTGGAGGGAGAGAGTATGGAGGAGGTGAACGTATTCAGATATTTGGGAGTGGACGTGTCAGCGGATGGGTCTATGAAAGATGAGGTGAATCATAGAATTGATGAGGGAAAAAGAGTGAGTGGTGCACTTAGGAGTCTGTGGAGACAAAGAACTTTGTCCTTGGAGGCAAAGAGGGGAATGTATGAGAGTATAGTTTTACCAACGCTCTTATATGGGTGTGAAGCGTGGGTGATGAATGTTGCAGCGAGGAGAAGGCTGGAGGCAGTGGAGATGTCATGTCTGAGGGCAATGTGTGGTGTGAATATAATGCAGAGAATTCGTAGTTTGGAAGTTAGGAGGAGGTGCGGGATTACCAAAACTGTTGTCCAGAGGGCTGAGGAAGGGTTGTTGAGGTGGTTCGGACATGTAGAGAGAATGGAGCGAAACAGAATGACTTCAAGAGTGTATCAGTCTGTAGTGGAAGGAAGGCGGGGTAGGGGTCGGCCTAGGAAGGGTTGGAGGGAGGGGGGGGTTAAAGGAGGTTTTGTGTGCGAGGGGCTTGGACTTCCAGCAGGCATGCTTGAGCGTGTTTGATAGGAAGTGAATGGAGACAAATGGTTTTTAATACTTGACGTGCTGTTGGAGTGTGAGCAAAGTAACATTTATGAAGGGATTCAGGGAAACCGGCAGGCCGGACTTGAGTCCTGGAGATGGGAAGTACAGTGCCTGCACTCTGAAGGAGGGGTGTTAATGTTGCAGTTTAAAAACTGTAGTGCAAAGCACCTTCTGGCAAGACAGTGATGGAGTGAATGATGGTGAAAGTTTTTCTTTTTCGGGCCACCCTGCCTTGGTGGGAATCGGCCGGTGTGATAATAAAAAAAAAAATAACCTTTGTTTCAAACAACATAATAAGACAAAGGTCACAACAGCCAGAAGGATGACAGGGTGGGTAATGAAAACCTTCCAAACAAGGAAAATTATGCCAATGGTGACACTTTTCAAATCATTAGTGCTCCCTCATTTGGGATACTGCTCAGTGTTGACGGCCATTCAGGGAAGAAGAAATACCAGAGCTACAACAGATAGAGAGATCATTTACAGCCCACACAGAGCCAGTCAAGCATATAAATTATTAGGAACACCTTAAAGTCTTAAATATGTACTCAATGGAGTGGAGGAGCGAGAGATACATGATAATATATACTTGTAAAGTACTCAAGGGCCTGGTCCCAAATCTGTACTCTGCCATAACAACATACTGGAGCGAGATATATGGGAGGAAGTACAAAATAAACCCAGTGAAAAACAGAGGTGCGGTGGGCACAATTAGGAAACACTATCAACATCTGTGGCCCCAGATTATTCGTCTTACCAGAAGATATCAGAAACTCTGCTGGAACAAGTGTAGAAATCTTCAAGAGAAAGCTGGACAAGTATCTTCACCAGGTGCCAGATCAACCAGGCTGTGATGGATATGTGGGTCAGTGGGCTTCCAGCAGCAACAGCCTGGTTGAACAGGCAAGCACCAGACGAGCCTGGCCCATGGCTGGGCTCCGGGAGTAAAAAGATTCTCAAAATTCATCAAAGGTATAAGGTAGTAAAAGCCGGTCATTAAGTGGGGAGATGGGTTTTTAGTCATTATTCCAAATTACATTATGAGAATGGTTGTTAAGCAGTGAATCACTATATTTGTTTCTAGTTTGATGGCAGTATTTTCTGTTACAACTGCCCAGAAAATGTTTTAGGTCAGTCAGCATCAGCACTAGTGTGAATTGTTCATGTGGTAGGCACACTCGTCTTCATTAACACCAATCTTTAGATCTCTAATAGTTTCTCCTAAATGTTCGCTGTTGCTGCCCTTACAAGGGAAGGTATAAACACCTACAGAACGTTGCTCTCTTTTCTTTAGCTTAAATTATGTGAAGCTTCAGAATTTTTGTGCTGATGGTGACTGAGTCCATTTTCATCTTTTTCAAGATTAGGGGGCTAGGGTAAGGGCTGTGTCCCCAGTGGGTAGGGTCAATCTCCAGGTGGTGATGGTAGTCTCAGCTTCATGGGGTTGGCAGACATCACAAGAAGAATGATATCTAAGCTAAAATTTGAAGTAAACTTTCACATGTATATATATTGAGAGATGCTTCTTAATATATAATTGTCCCTACTAATTCATGGGCTGCCTTATTTGCAGGTTTTCATTATCCATTAATTTTTTAAATGGGCAACCACAGAATGGATATGATTAGCCAATGGTTTCCTGGCTCAGAGGCTTTCCTACCCCAAACTGCTCTCTATTCTGGTAACCATTTCCTATACATGTCGTATTAACCACATCAGAGTAATATGTTACAGTGGGCTCTGAAATATAAAATTAACTCAAATCTTAAACACATTTTGTCATGCAGAATTAATTTTGCATTACCTGCATTTTCTAGTTTCAAAGGATCTCTAGGAATGCAACTCACTACAAATTTGTAGGTACAGCTGTATATACACCGAGAAGAAGACCTCTTAGCGTGAACTGTACACAGAGATAAGCACACAATGTATATACAGGTTTCCCTCACTTTATATGAATTTGTTTATACATGGCGACAAAACTGCTAGCAGTAATTCTCTAGAGGCAATGTAAATTCTCTTTTGCGATCATTCAAGCCAAGCAGCACTTGATTTTTTTAACAATATTGTTTAAATACCATTCTGAACTTGGAGATTTAATAGAAAATAAAATCAATCATGGAAAACTTGAATACATTTTGAACAATATTCTTTGGCTGGTTTTCAATCAGAGTGTCTTACACCAAGTCAAGAGAAAATGGACACCCAACCAGACGAAGTTGGGTTGCACAGGTAAATAGTTGGGACTAGGAGTAGGACAGGTAAGAAATAATAGTAGGAAGATATGTACAGTATTCATAGGTTCATAACATGTGTACTTCAATATAGACAGATAGGTTGAATGGAGGGAGGGTAATGAATTTTAAATTTTACTTTTTCTTTGGTTTTTTGCATATGGCAATTTGGCGCCTATGTGGTACGCTTATATTATTTTCTTGATAAAAATAAATAATGTGGATTTCTTCCAAAACAATAACAAAAACACACAATGTTTCTTGACTTCTTTCCTTGATATTTTGATAATTTTCATTATTTTTTCTGTATTGTGCTCCCATGAAATGGGGGGTATAACATCATGCATCTACTACACAATGGATATTTTTTTTTCAAACAAACTGACTGTCTCCCACCAAGGCAGGGGGACTCAAAAAAGAAGTACTTTTACCATCATTCACACTATCACTGTCTTGCCAAAGGCGCACAGATGCAACAGTTCAGATGTCCCTTCAAACAGGAAATACACCAAAACCCTCCTTTAGTGCAGGAAATGTACTTCCCACCTCCAGGACTCAAGTCCAGCTAACCAGTTTCCCTGAATCCCTTCACAAAATGCTACCTTGCTCACACTTCAACAGCATATAAAATTCAATATCTTACCAAGAGGAGGCTGTAGCATCCCACCATGCTCTTCACAGTGGCCAATGGGATGAATTTCATTGTTACAGTCTACAAGACGCCAGAAATCGTTTTTATTATCTGACCCATCAAGTCTTAGGCGCAGCCTAGGGCCCAGAGTGCCAACTACTGTAGCAATACATGTTGAAGTCAGATTTCGTGGATCCAAAGCTTCAAGTTTCATCCCAATCCTGAATTCATTCTTTGGGGGTATCTTGTGCTGAAAGTGGTCAACACATTTATATCAAATGCTACCAATATGAACTACCACAGAGGAAGAGGGAGAAGAGGGGAGAGGAGGAAAGGGAAAAGGAGAGGGAGGAAGAGAAAAAAGGTAGGAGAGGAGAGAATAGAGAGGGACAGCAGATGGAAGAGAGGATGGGGAGGAAAGAAGGGAAGATGGAAGAGGGAGTGGGAGAAACGAAGAGGGAGAGAAGAAAGATGGATGGAGGAAGGACAGAAGAGAGAGGAAGAGTGAGTGCCTAAGGAAAAAAAGGAGTATAATTTAGAACATATGATATGGGAATGACAGAGGTAAGAAGAGAGGGCAGGAGGATGAGGATGGAAAGAGTTATAGTCAAGAGGGGGGTAGGAGAGAGGAAGGTGGTGGAGGGAGGGGAAGGTAAGAGGAAGATAGGAATAGGAAGAGAAGAGGAAGGTGGAGGTGACATGAGGAACAAAAAAGGATGAGAGAAGATAATAGAAGAAATACAATAAGAATGAAGAAAGAGGGAGGAGAAAAATACAAAAATGAAGACAAAATACAGAAAAAAGGAAACAAATGACAAAAATAAGACAAAAAACTAAAGAAATAAAGTAAAAATAAAGTTTAAAGACAAAAACTAAAGAAAAAAGTTAGAGAGACTAACAATGAAGTGAGATATATATTGTGAAGAATACTCTGGGAAATATTCCCACCCTCCCACAGTCTACTCAAGAATTCCATCAAATATTAAAAATCTACTAATGAAAAAGATCACTTCATTAAAACCTACAATACATTCTCACAAAAAGGCAACAATTTCTCTTTGCAAGTGTTTTTTTTTTTTCTGTGGACTGTTTCAGCCCGGTAACTGTGACTTATATTAAAATTATATCTCATAAGAAGTTCCTAATGTACATGAACAAAATGTATAGCAATTTATATCAGGAAAAAATAAATAAATTAGCATGGATATATCTGTAGTATAGTTCTTGGTCTTATTACTTTTCCTTTTATATCCATGGGGAAGTGGAATAAGAATCTTTCCTCCGTAAGCCATGCGTGTTGTAAAAGTCAACTAAAATGCCGGGAACAATGGGCTAGTAACCCCTTTTCCTGTAAAGATTACTAAAAAGAATAAGAAGAAGAAAATTGTCAAAGTGGGAAGTCTGAATGTGCGTGGATGTTGTGCAGATGATAAGAAAGAGAAGATTGTGGATGTTATGAATGAGAAGAAGCTGGATGTCCTGGCTTTAAGTGAAACAAAGCTGAAGGGGGTGGGAGAGTTTCAGTGGAGAGGAATAAATGGGATTAGGTCAGGGGTTTCAAATAGAGTTAGAGCTAAAGAAGGAGTAGCAATAATGTTGAAGGATAAGCTATGGCAGGAAAAGAGGGACTATAAATGTATTAATTCAAGGATTATGAGGAGTAAAATAAAGATTGGATGTGAAAAGTGGGTTATAATAAGCGTGTATGCACCTGGAGAAGAGAAAAGTGTAGAGGAGAGGGAGAGATTTTGGGAAATGTTGAGTGAATGCATGGGGAGTTTTGAATCAAGTGTGAGAGTAATGGTGGTTGGGGATTTCAGTGCTAAAGTGGGTAAAAATGTTATGGAGGGAGTAGTAGGTAAATTTGGGGTGCCAGGGGTAAATGTAAATGGGGAGCCTTTAATTGAGCTATGTGTAGAAAGAGATTTGGTAATAAGTAATACATATTTTATGAAAAAGAGGATAAATAAATATACAAGGTATGATGTAGCACGTAATGAAAGTAGTTTATTAGATTATGTATTGGTGGATAAAAGGTTGATGGGTAGGCTCCAGGATATACATGTTTATAGAGGGGCAACTGATATATCGGATCATTATTTAGTTGTAGCTACAGTTAGAGTAAGAGGTAGATGGGAAAAGAGGAAGGTGGCAACAACAAGTAAGAGGGAGGTGAAAGTGTATAAACTAAGGGAGGAGGAAGTTCGGGTGAGATATAGGCGACTATTGGCAGAAAGGTGGGCTAGTGCAAAGATGAGTAGTGGGGGGGTTGAAGAGGGTTGGAATAGTTTTAAAAATGCAGTATTAGAATGTGGGGAAGAAGTTTGTGGTTATAGGAGGGTGGGGGCAGGAGGAAAGAGGAGTGATTGGTGGAATGATGAAGTAAAGGGTGTGATAAAAGAGAAAAAGGTAGCTTATGAGAGGTTTTTACAAAGCAGAAGTGTTATAAGAAGAGCAGAGTATATGGAGAGCAAAAGAAAGGTAAAGAGAGTGCAAAAGGAGAGCAGATGATAGAGTGGGAGAGGCACTGTCAAGAAATTTTAATGAAAATAAGAAAAAATTTTGGAGTGAGTTAAACAAGTTAAGAAAGCCTAGGGAAAGTATGGATTTGTCAGTTAAAAACAGAGTAGGGGAGTTAGTAGATGGGGAGATGGAGGTATTAGGTAGATGGCGAGAATATTTTGAGGAACTTTTAAATGTTAAGGAAGAAACAGAGGCAGTAATTTCATGCACTGGTCAGGGAGGTATACCATCTTTTAGGAGTGAAGAAGAGCAGAATGTAAGTGTGGGGGAGGTACGTGAGGCATTACGTAAAATGAAAGGGGGTAAAGCAGCTGGAACTGATGGGATCATGACAGAAATGTTTAAAAGCAGGGGGGGATATAGTGTTGGAGTGGTTGGTACTTTTGTTTAAATAAATGTATGAAAGAGGGAAGGTACCTAGGGATTGGCAGAGAGCATGTATAGTCCCTTTATATAAAGGGAAAGGGGACAAAAGAGACTGTAAAAATTATAGAGGAATAAGTTTACTGAGTATACCAGGAAAAGCGTACGGTAGGGTTATAATTGAAAGAATTAGAGGTAAGACAGAAATGTAGGATTGCGGATGAGCAAGGTGGTTTCACAGTGGGTAGGGGATGTGTAGATCAAGTGTTTACATTGAAGCATATATGTAAACAGTATTTAGATAAAGGTAGGTAAGTTTTTATTGCATTTATGGATTTAGAAAAGGCATATGATAGAGTGGATAGAGGAGCAATGTGGCAGATGTTGCAAGTATATGGAATAGGTGGTAAGTTATTAAATGCTGTAAAGAGTTTTTATGAGGATAGTGAGGCTCAGGTTAGGGTATGTAGAAGAGAGGGAGAATACTTCCCAGTAAAAGTAGGTCTTTAGACAGGATGTGTAATGTCACCATGGTTGTTTAATATATTTATAGATGGGGTTGTAAAGGAAGTAAATGCCAGGGTGTTCGGGAGAGGGGTGGGGTTAAATTTTGGGGAATCAAATTCAAAATGGGAATTGACACAGTTACTTTTTGCTGATGATACTGTGCTTATGGGAGATTCTAAAGAAAAATTGCAAAAGTTAGTGGATGAGTTTGGGGAGTGTGTGTAAAGGTAGAAGTTGAAAGTGAACATAGAAAGAGTAAGGTGATGAGGGTACAAATGATTTAGATAAAGAAAAAATTGGATATCAAATTGGGGAGGAGGAGTATGGAAGAAGTGAATGTTTTCAGATACTTGGGAGTTGACGTGTCGGCGGATGGATTTATGAAGGATGAGGTTAATCATAGAATTGATGAGGGAAAAAGGGGAGTGGTGCGTTGAGGTATATGTGGAGTCAAAAAACGTTATCTATGAGGCAAAGAAGGGAATGTATGAAAGTATAGTAGTACCAACACTCTTATATGGGTGTGAAGCTTGGGTGGTAAATGCAACAGCGAGGAAGACGGTTGGAGGCAGTGGAGATGTCCTGTTTAAGGGCAATGTGTGGTGTAAATATTATGCAGAAAATTCGGAGTTTTGGAAATTAGGAGAAGGTGTGGAGTTAATAAAAGCATTAGTCAGAGGGCAGAAAAAGGGGTTGTTGAGGTGGTTTGGTCATTTAGAGAGAATGGATCAAAGTAGAATGACATGGAAAGCATATAAAACTATAGGGAAAGGAAGGCGGGGTAGGGGTCGCCTCGAAAGGGTTGGAGAGAGGGGGTAAAGGAGGTTTTGTGGGCAAGGGCTTGGACTTCCAGCAAGCGTGCGTGAGCGTGTTTTGATAGGAGTGAATGGAGACGATGGTACTTGGGACCTGACGATCTGTTTGGAGTGTGAGCAGGGTAATATTTACTGAAGGGATTCAGGGAAACCGGTTTTTTTTCCCATATAGTCGGACTTGAGTCCTGGAAATGGGAAGTACAATGCCTGCACTTTAAAGGAGGGGTTTGGGATATTGGCAGTTTGGAGGGATATGTTGTGTATCTTTATATGTTTATGCTTCTAAACTGTTGTATTCTGAGCACCTCTGCAAAAACAGTGATAATGTGCGAGTGTGGTGAAAGTGTTGAATGATGATGAAAGTATTTTCTTTTTGGGGATTTTCTTTCTTTTTTGGGTCACCCTGCCTCGGTGGGAGACAGCCGACTTGTTGAAAAAAAAAAAAAAAATATCTGTAGTAGGTTGGTAGACAGCAACAGCCCAGGGAGGTACTACCATCCTGCCAATTGAGTGTAAAACAAAAGTCTGTAATTGTTTTACATGATGGTAGGATTGCTGGTGTCTTTTGTCTGTCTCATAAATATGCAAGATTACAGAAGTCAGAAGAAGGTGAAAGTGAATAAACTAAGGGAGGAGGAAGTTCGGGTGAGATATAAGCAACTATTGGCAGAAAGGTGGGCTGGTGCAAGTATGAGTATTGGGGGGGTTGAAGAGGGTTGGAATAGCTTTAAAAATGCAGTTTTAAAGAATGTGGGGCAGAAGTTTTGGGTATGGGAGGGTGGGTGCAGGAGGAAAGAGTGATTGGTGGAATGAAAGTAAAGGGTGTGATAAAAGAGAAAAAGGTAGCTTATGAGAGGTATTTACAAAGCAGAAGTTTTAAAAAGAAGAGTAGAGTATATGGAAGTAAAAGAAAGGTGAGGAGAGTGGTGAAGAGTGCAAAAGGAGAGCAGATGATAGAGTGGGAGAGGCACGTCAAGAAATTTTAATGAAAATAAGAAAAATTTTTGGAGTGAGTTAAACTAGTTAAGAAAGCCTATGGAAC